CGCAGGCTCTGGGCGTCTGCCCCCTTTCACTGCAGCTATGAGCCCTGGTGCGTGCAAGGATGAACGTGACCGGAGTGCGCACCCCCTCGGGAGCCCTGCCTGGGAGGCGGGCGGCGCGTGGGACCTGGCTGTGTGCGCAGGACAACTCCAGCCCTGGGAACAGCAGCGCGCCACGCTAAACTGCTACCATCTAACAGAAGATGGTAAACGAGGGAAAACGGAAGGATCAAAAGCTCTGCACAAAGCCCCCCAAGCTGGTTAATGAATATCTTCACTACAGAGGGAAAAATTGATGTTATCAGGGACCAAAGCCCATTGCTTCTGCGCTAACTGAGCTCTCAGCAGCCCGTGCAGCGTGTGCCGGAATAAAAGCCCGGCACACTCTGGGCTCTGTGCGGTGCAGGACCATATGCCACCTGTTTAGATCTCCTTCCCCAAACACAAACTTCCCGTAGAGGAGGAACCAGCAGCATTGCACAGGGAAGCACTTAATTGTAAATGAAGTGCCTGGGAGCATAGTGGAAGCAGAGCCTGGTAATGTCTCTCCGTGTGTTCTGAGCAGTTGGAGTGGAACGATTTCTGCCATGGAGCCGCGCGTGCTGGGTGAAACCAGAGGGAGAGAAAACGGCAGGGAGACTGCAGGCAAAACCTGGTGACAGGCTGGTCTGCTTCGGGAGAGCACCAAGCCGTGCGCCGAGGGATAACGCTGGGGAGCTGAGCGCCCCAGCCCAGCCAGGGAGGGACAACAAACGCTGTCCCTCCCAGAGACAAGGTGACCTGGGATGAACTAGCTAGTCAAGCCTCTGATCAGAGCCAGCTCGCTCTCCTGCAGTCCCCGCTGCTTGCCTTTCTCAGGTGTCAGTGAGCAAAGAGTCACAGATAGCCTGTCTGCCCTCACCCTGCTCAGGGAGGGATTTACATCCTGTGATGCAAGGCAGTGCCGTGAGGAATCAAACCCAGTGTCTTTTAAGGGAGCAGGGTTGACTAAACTTTGTTTTTTCTAAACAAGGTGTGATTTTTCTATTAAATCCAAAACAGGGTTATGGAATAAGTCTACACGTGTGAAGGTTATCAGAAGCTGAATTGTGCTTAAAACCATTGCCAAGGAAGAGCCCTTGCTATCCGATCTGCTGCCGAACGCAGCTGGGAAAGCAGTGAGCATTGGCCGTTCGCTGGCGACCGCTGGCAGCTGAGCAGGCAGCGCTGCAACGGCGATGGGGCAAGACCCACCGTCAGCATCTGGAGTCATCACCAGCACTAAAAGTATTTCACTGTTGTTGTGCAGAATCTTCTCACCCTCCTCTGGTCCCTCTGCAGCTCTCTGCTTTCCTTCTGTTTTGTATGGGGACTACGAAAGTGCAGCTCACTCTGGGAACCAGCTCAGTGAAGCCTGATCTCAGTAAAATATTTAAGCTCATGCCTCTGTTTAAGTTCAGGAAGACCAGGCACATTTTTAATTTAAGTATGTTCACTGCTCGATAGTGATGCGCTGCTTAATGGAGGCCTCGATGTCGGGGGAACTCCGGACACAGCAGCTAAACACTTGGGTAGGTGATTAATCCCTCTGGGCTCCACAGGACAATTTACACACTTAAGATGAAGCACTGTCAGGTCATGATCTAGTGTGGTGGGATCAGGGCTTGCTGAATGTGGCCCACATGAAAAAGCAATAATTTAAAATGTCTAACATTTTCATTTTTTCTGACCCTTGGTTCACGTTATCAATGGATGCATGAAGGACACCCAGCCCTTGAAACCCCACAAACTACTGGCAAGAAACACGTGTCTCGGTTTCGCTTGGGCAGTGGGGTGTGTGCTCACATGGGCGCCCCATGGGCTTCAGCTGGGGCTGAGGAGCAGACGTCGCTCCGACGGGGATGGCAGGGACCAAGCCGGGGGGCCAGACCCTGGCGCCGATGGGATGTGCCGTCTTCTCCAGAGCTAAGGCCTGGGCCCAGGGGTGCCCGCGTGAGGACACCTCTGCCGATAGTCGCTGCAGCAGCAACGCAGGCGTCCAGCGCTCGCCCCTGGGGAAAGTCTGCATCTGCCGTAGCAACGCCTGCGCGGCGCTTGGCCGCTCCTGACCCGCGGTGGCCTGGGACGTGCAAGCCCGGGGGACGGCACGTGTGAGTGGGGAACGGTGGGCTTAACGTGAGTGAGATAACCCATATAAGATTATTTAACTAAGAAGAAAAATCACAGCACAAATTGCCAAAAGCTGAAATGGCGACATGTCTAGTTAACAGCTAGAAATGAAAAAATAATTCTAAACAACGTGTTTGTCACAACATTGAAGGGTCACCCGCTAAGTGAAGGAAGCCAAGGAGGGAAACAGTTCTTAGGTGTAATTACAGTTTCTAAGAAGTTTTTCACTCGCTCTGTAATTGTCGGAGGGTGGTGATTGGCACCGCAGTGCCTCAGCAGCGGCGAGAAAGCACCACAATAGAGCTGTAATTCACAGAGCTGAACCGTGAAGTCAGAAATTATTTGGAAGTTATTACTAATCTTTATAGATTCAGTGGTTCATACGCTGGCCCAGCCAATTCGGATTATAAACGCAGAAGGAAGCGTTAACGGTAGTCTCGTGTGCTCTTGCGCTGCCCATGCTCCCCACCTCTACCCTAACGGATCCCGCGTGAGACCCAACGTTTCTGGTTGAACCGGAGCAAGTCATTCAGTTACAGCAGAGGCATGCAGGCTTGCTGGCTCGCTCCAATAATCCGTTTCCTTTGCTGTTAGAAATCTCTCTCCTGTTTCTGGCCTGAATATGCTGAGCTTCTGCTTCTAGGTGTTGGATTTTGCTTTGTATCTGCCTTGGTAAAGAGCTCTCCACTGTTGGAAGACTTCTTTAGGAGGTAGTTGTGAAGAGTGAGAAGCTGTCTGATCACCTTTTCTTTAATAAACTAAATTATTAAAAATGCTCTACAGCCAATACTAAAAGGCACAAGGCAGTTTGAATTGTCATCTGGTCCATCCAGAAAACTGGAAGGCAAAAACTCGCCCACTGTCCTCATGTCCCAGGAGACCTGGCAGGGGAGGGCAGTGTATTTTTCCAGGGCCACGTGTGAGGTTTCAGGGCTCTGCAGCCGCGAGGGGAAGCCGCTGGCAGCTCTGCCTCGGGAAAGCGCCGGGCCCCCGAGCCTGGGCTCGCCAGCTCCTTCTGTCGGGAAAACGCTCCTGCGTTTGCAGGGCTTCTGGCCAGAGTCTCCCAGAGACACTCAGCGTGATTTTGGTGAGGGTTTCTTTTCTTTCCATGTTATTTTTCCAGCATCTTCCATTCCCTCGATTGCATATTGCTGAGCTGAGACCAGTGCAGGTTATAAGTGGATTTTTGACATAAAAGCTCCTCTCAGCTCTATGTAATTCCATTTTCTGCCAGCACGGAAATGCGCAGCTCTTTCACGTCGGGCAGCTGCCTGTGTTCGGGAGAATTAAAAAAAAAAAAAAAATCACACTTTTTTCATTTGTGCTGATTTGCATATTAATAGTTTGCATATTAAACAACTACTTCAGAGGGTGGGCGGGCTAATGAATGCAGCAGTCTCCTCTATTTTAACTCAATTTGCCTCATCCATATTCCAATGACTTTGGGGATTGGTATTCAGTTTTCATTGAAATTATCCAAGCCAGACCTAATTTGTGCTGCCCTTCCATTAATCCAATTAATTAGCACCATTGATGTGTACTGCCTTTGTAATGCAGCTTTGTTCAGCACTGCTGCCGCTAATGACAGCCTAGTATCAGAGCAAATAATGAGCGCACCAAAGGAGCGTTTGACCCTTGATGTACCCTCACACAATGGAGCAGTTTCTAGTCTGGAGGCCCTAATTTAGGTTCGATAGCCCAAATTATAGACAATAATTCAATATTCTTTGTGGGGAGCTGAGCAAGTATCACCCCGCCATTTGTTTAGCTTATCGTTTTTCTGCCTCTTTATTTATGTATTTTTTTTTCCTTTTCATTATTTTCCAACCTGGCCTCCCTGCTCCACCTCCAGCATTGATTCCTGACCTTGTTTCCACTGAGAGGTCTGAAGATCTCTTTGCTCTGAAGGAATTCATTAACCTTTCCCCTTGCCCAGAACTAGAGAGAAAATCTTTATATTTTTAAGTAAAGCAAATAAATATTGTTAGTGATTATTGGAGTCCCCTCTCTGCTGCTCCTGAAGGACTCAGTTGCTAGCTTAGGAACCGCTTTTGGGCTTTTATCTTTTGCGTTATTTTTGGCTGCTGTTTGAAATCGTTGTCTGAACGCCTACTAATTTTAGCAGGAGCCAGGATTCCCCGCAGGTGCTTTCTATGCACTGTTCCCCCTTTTCGGGGTATAAAACAGGCTCTTCTTTCCTTTGCTAAAGCTGCAGCTGGGAGGCTCCAGCTCTTGCTCCAGGGTGATGAAAGAGCAGCTTAAACCGCCCGTGAGCGGGAGCTCGGCCCCGGCCCGGCTGCCCGGCGGTGCGGGGTCCCTTCCCCTGGGCCCGCAGCGTCCTCAGGGCTGCAGACCCGCAGCGGGGCCAGCGCCGTGCAGCGGGGAGGCCGCGCTCCGGCTCCCGCGGAGTGCGGGTTTGGCGCCCTGCGCCATGGCGAAGCTGCAAGGAGCTGCGAAGACATGTGCAAATATTCGGAAAGCAGCTGCTTTGGTTCGAACGTGATGTCTTTTTAATCACTCAGCCCCTTGCAGACGACAGTGGGAGAATCTATTAAAGGAAGCGTTTAGCTATGGTTATCCACAGGTAGGTCACTAAATTCATTAAGTTAATTAATTACAGGCGGAACATTCACTGTGTCCACAAGTGTTTGAACTATAAGGAGGAAGGTACTGCTAGAGCTGGGAGGAGGACAGAAAGTCAATTTTGCAAAGGGATGTTGAGATTTTGATACTGGGCATCCCTTTAATCGGAACAAACCT